CTCAAGTGCTTTCTCTTCCATCAAGGTTGTCCTCCCCACTTTGGAAATGATGTCCCCTCATTTCTACATCACACAGTATTTCTTTATTAGCTCTTCTACTACTTATAGTGCCCTATTTGCTATTATAATTTTTTGGGCGCCTATCTCATTCCCCCTACTAGGTTGTAATCCCCATGAGGGTTCCATAAGATCAGAGATTTAGAGAAGGAATATCACAGACCATTTAAGCCAAACACTTCCTTTAAATTTAAAAAAAAAATTTTGTTATTTTGAACTTGTTAGGCATTAGATATTTCCATAGAAGAACAGAAAAATAGAATTGCATATGAAATCAGGAATTGCTATTACAAATAGCTTGCTTTTTTAAAAAAAGCATATAATATATTCAATGTGTTAGTTTTAAAGTTCAGCTTCTCTGTCTCCCTCCAAACCTTCTTCTGTTCTCTTTTGTGTTTATTTAAATGTTTCTATAATATTGTACATATAGTTATTTGTACATTATTCCCTTCAACAGAATGTGAAAAATTTTTTTTCTGTTTAAATGTATTTTATTAAATAGCTTCAGTTCAGAGTTTCATTGTAACAAAACCATGAAGGGGCTACCAACATTCAGAACAAACACTAGCTAGTTTTAAAATTATTTTTATGTCATCATGCAAAAATTCTGTATCAAATGCCTTCTATTTTCTATTTAAAAGAAGATTTTTTTAAAAAAAAATTATCTAGGAGCCGCTAGATGGCGCAGTGGATAGAGCTCTGGCCTTGAAGTCAGGAAGACATGAGTTCAAATCCAGTCTCAGACGCATGACACTTACTAGCTGTGTGACCCTGGGGCAAGTCACTTAACCCCAATTGCCTCACTAAAAGGAAAAAAAAAGAAAGAAAAAAATTATCTAAATTCTATAGATGCTGATGTTAGCCCCAGAAGAGGAGAGTAAGAATGCTAAGGAAAGGTGGGGCTTGAGCCCCAATATTAAGCTGTGGCTCTCAAGGACCATTTGCCTCCAAGACTGCAAAACTAAACCATGTTGTGAAGTTGTCTCCATGCTGGTAATGCAGAATGCAGGAAAGGAAAAGGAATCTAGAGCCCAGAGGATGGGCTTGCACATTGTGCTCCATTGAGTCTGACCAACAGAGCACAGGGACCAGGTTTTTTAAATTTAAATTTAAATTATTTTATCCCCACACTTAGTATATACTTGTTGACTAAAAGAATGGCTCTTTTCTTTTCTTTTCTTTTCTTTTTTTAAAGACCATGATTACTCAGTCCCCTCAAATCCCCCTGCTTATTAAAAAAATCCTTCCCCTGTGACCAAATCCACATATTGGCAATATCTGAAAATACTTGTCTCTTTCTGCATCTAGCCTCCATTACCTCAAAGTCAGGAATTGGACAGTGTGCTCCATTATTAATCCTTTGAAGGCCTGATTGGTCACTGTACTCATTAGGTTTTTTTTTTTAAGGCATTTGGGGTTAAGTGACTTGCCCAGGGTCACACAGCTAGTAAGAGTTATGTGTTTAGTCTGAGGTTGGATTTGAACTCAAGTCCTCCCAACTTCAGGGCCGGTGCTGTCTCCACTGTGCCACCTAGCTGCTCTGTACTCTTTAGTTCCTAAGTCATTCAAAGTTGTTTTTCTTTACAGTGTTGTAGTTGTTGTGGTCTAGGAGAGACAGGACCCCGAAATTCAAGGGCAAGCAATGCAGGTCCTGCCTCGAAGAATTCAACCCAAGCCTTCTTTCAGCCAAAGACAAGGTTTATTTGAACACTGATAGAGGTGGGCAAGATTTTAAGAATCTGAGCCTTCGTAATGAGAATACAACTGGGCCAGATTCTTGGAAATCGGAGAACCTTAATGTAGGCAAGATGGACCTTTTACACAGTGGTCAAGGAGTGGCCAATAGTTTGGGTGACTGGGGGGTAACAGAGAAGGACCCAGGAGGGCCCTGTGCCCCAGGTGAATACCAGGGACCTGGGCCATGTAGGAAAGTCCAGGGTCTTTTAGAGGTCCATCATTAGTGCCCCATCATAGTCACCACATAAATTGTTCTTCTGGTTCTACTCATTTCACTTTGCATTAGTTCCTAGATATGTGGCACCCCCTCTGAGGCCCCTCACCCAAGGTACATTGGCAGGATGGGTCTCTAGGAGGATTAATATTACTCCTTCCCTCAGGATTCTAGGGGTTATCCTAATGGGTTCTAGCTTCTAACAGTGTAGCTATTGCACCCCCATTGAGTCCCCCACCCCATATCAAGCAACCAGCTGACATCAATGAACTTTTGCAAAAGAGATATTTACTGAGAAGGTGAGGACAAATGTCGTTTTTAAAAATCTCCCAAAACAGGAGGGTGGGACCATTATTAAAGTAGAATTGTAGTGAGGTACATACATGGAGAACATATATGGCCAAGGAGTACTTTCCCATTCCTGGCCCCAGACAGAGACAGAGACAGAGAGAGACAGAGACAGAGAGAGAGAGAGAGAGAGAGAGAGAGAGAGAGAGAGAGAGAGAGAGAGAGAGAGAGAGAGAGAGATCAGCTGCTAGAGGCTTTTGTATACATGCTCAGTTCTGGCTCATCTTCTTAAGTCGTCAGTCCTTATGACTCAGAAGTCAATTAGAAGGCATTCCATCATTACATATTACTAATTCTGAGTCATTATGACCCAATCTAGGCACTGTGCAAGTTTCTACTATGGCTTTTGGACAGAGACCAAGTAGGGAATATCTCAATAGGCTTTAGAGATTGGGGCCCTCATTGGCCAATCCACCTATTATAAAGCTCTTGCTAGGTTTCTGAATCCAATCCTTTTATCGTTTCTTATGATGCAAGAATATTTCATTACTTTATATACCATATTTCATTCAACCATTTCCCAATTGCTGGCTATTCCTTTATTTTCCAATTCTTTGCTACAGTGCTGCTGTAAATATTTTTGCATTTATGGATCCTTTACCCTTTAGCCTTGATCTCATTGGAAGTATAAATCTAGTAGTGCTATCATTGGGTCAAAGATTATACACAGTTTAGTGACTTTTTGAGTATAGTCCAAATTGCCTTCCAGAATTGAGGGACCGTTTTACAACTTTATTAAAGTTGTCTTAGTGTGACTGCATTCTCATATCCCCAGTGAGAATGGATATGCTTTCCCTTTGGGTCATCTTTGCCAATATGATGCCAATGACTTCATTTCACAGATGATGAAAATGAAACTCAGAGCGACTAAGTGATTTGTCCAGAATAATGTAGCCATTAAGTGTCAGAGTCTGGATTTGACTCATAGTCATAGATCTAGCATAGACCACAGAGCCCAACCATTTACAACCCCCTCATTTTATGTACAAAGAAACTGAGGCTCAGAGAAGTTTAGCGACTTCAGTCACAGAGCCTGGTCCTTCTTAACCTTAGTGTTTTCCCTCTGATGTCATCTCCAGTTTATCCTGTATATCACTTGCTTGTACACAGTTGTTTGCACATTGTCTCCCCTATAAGACTGTGAGCTTCTTGAGAGCAGGGATTGTTCTTTGTCTTTTTCTGTATCCCCGGTGCTCAGTGCCTGGCATATAGTAGGTGCTTAATAAATGCTTGTGGATTTGACTTGACTGGAAAGGGTCTGAAGCAGCAGTTTAAGCCTTTTCATTTTTAGCTCCTTTCCCTCTTTCATTCTCATCTTCATTCTTTATCTTTTTTTCCGCTTTTCATTTCATCACCTTCTTTCTCTTTCTCTTTGTTACTCTTTTTCTTTTTCTCCTTCCTATTCCCTTTTTTCTGTTTATGTCCCTTTCAATCTTTCATTCTTTCTGCTTCCCTCTTTCATGCTTTTTTATCTTTCATTCTTTCTCTTCTATTTCTTTTTCATTTTCTCTCCCCATCTCCCTCTGTCCCTCTTTTTCATTCTTTTTCTTTTTAGTTGTCTCCTTCATTCTTTCCCCTTTCTTCTTCCTGCCTCCTTTTTCTTTCTCCCTTGCTTTTTCTTTCTCTTTCTTATCTCACACACTTCCTCCTTACCATCTTCCTTTTATTTTGCTTATTCACATCATCTATCATCTCCTTTTGCTCCCTTTCATTCTCTCTCACTTTTCTCATTCTTTTATTCTCTTTCTCTTTGGCTCTTCCCCTTTTGACTTCTCTCCACTCTCACTCTTCCTCTTTTTCCTCTCCCTCCATCCTTCACTTCCTGTCCCTTTCTCCTCTCCCTACTTCTCTCTCTTTCCCCCTCTTTCTCTTCCTTTCTCCTTTCCTTCCCCCTCATTATCTCTTCCCTCTCTCTCTTTCTCTCTCTTACCCAGCCTTTCACTTTCTGTCCTGGATTTCATTTACTCGGGGGTCTACTTGTGAGCCACTGTAGAGCTTTCTCTCCACTGGCTAGCTTTGGGTTACTGTCTGCTGTTCCTTTTCCATGGGCGGGGCATGACTAATTGGGCTCAGTTAAAGCTGATAAGGCAAATATAGAGTCAAGTACTGCAGAGCAGGGTGCCCTTTCTTCAGCATCTTTTCCTGAGATCTGAGGTGGCTAGAGCTTGCTGACTTAGTAAGCCTGGGGCCAGAGAACACAGAAGAGTTTTATTCTTCATGCCTGTGAGCTTAGTCAGTAAGAACATTGTGCTAATGAGGAGAATGCGGTCATGGAAGGAGATCTGCCCTTGGAGGCAGAAAGCTTGGGTGTGAGTCCTGGCTGTGACATGGGCTGCGTAGGCAAATCCCCTACTGTGTCTGGGCTTCACTTTCCTCCACTATCAAGTAGACTCGTGGTACCTGCATCACAAGGTTGGTTTTTAGAATCAAAGAAATGGCATATAAAATTGATTGGGGATGCCAAGCTACAGATGATGCCAAGCCACAGCCGGGGGCCTTGACTGAACACTCTTCTTGCCTCTGCACAGTCCCCGGAGAGAAGGAGCCAGTTACAGATAGAAATGTTAAAAAAGCAATAGAATTGTTAAGGGAGGGAAGGGGAAGAAAAAATGGAGAAATGAGAGCTGAAGAGAGGCAGGGAAGAGAGAAAGGAAGAGATGAGTGTGAAGGAGGGAAAGAATAGGAGATGAAGGAAGGGGGAAAGAGACTGATAAAGCAGGGAACTGTAAGCATTAAGGATCAATGAAGCTCAGAGCCAAAGAATAGTAAATATATGGAGCTTGCTTTTTGCTGGTATTTTGAATCATATGGACTGGATAGGTCACCTGGTAATGATGAGGACCACTCCCTCTACCTCTGGTAGATGCCCCCAATAGGAAAGATCATTTTCATTCTTTCTTTTTAAAGTGAAAAAAAAACCATGCTTCAATCTGCACCCAGAGTTCATCACTTCTGAAGGATCATTATCTTAACTATTGATGGACTTAGGTATGAGGTCTTTGGTCATTTTTCTTTGTTTCAATGGATAGGTTAAATCACATCTATTCTATATTTGATGGCTGATTAAACTGAGTATTTGCATGAGAGCAAAATGAGCCATGTGCTAATATTACCAGGGTTTCCCTGGGTTTAGGCATAAGTCAGAAGTTTTTGGTGAAAGGCATCCTTCCCTCCCCATTGCACCTGAGTCCTCATGTCAGGGGATACTCAGCCATCAGGGAAACACTCACAGCTGTCAGGTCTTGGCACAAGAAGGTCAGGGTGAAAAGATTCTGAGCAAATCCACTGGAATGCAGCCTGAAGGGTACCTTCTAATGAAAGGGCCAGTGACGTCATTTCTCTATACAAGGGACACCACTTTTATTTTGACATGGAACTTGGAGGCTGAAAGAGGCAATAAATGAAATATTCAGTTACTGGTAGTTGGGGAAGGAGGGGTGCACTAGGAGTGGTTTGTTATTCTGATCACCCTCCTCTTCTCTCCATCCTCCCCCCATACCCACCTCCCTGATCTCCCTGGGGAAAAAGAGCAGTGGAAAGTTCTGATTTTGGTGTTTGGGTACAATGTCAGTGTTCTGCCCTGCCTCCTTCCTGCTTCTGCCAGTCACTGATCTTGTTTGGCCTCAGGCAGTCTCTTTCTTGCTCCATAGCCCCCTTTCTCACCCCCCTTCTCTTCTGTTCTCTACTCTTCTCTCTCTCCCTCCTATCTTCCCTTTCCCTCTCTTTCCTTGCCCCCCGCGTCTCTCTTTCTCTTTCTCTGTTTCTTTGTCTGTCTTTCTCTATGTGTGTGTCTAACTGTGGGTCTCTTTGTCTGTCTGTCTGCCTCTCTCTGTGTCTGTCTCTCTCTCCTTCTCCCTCCCTTTCTCTCCATCTTCCTCCCTTTCCCTCCTTCCCTCTCTCTGTTTCTCTTTTTGTCTCTCTCTGTCTCTGTCTGTCTCCCTTTGTGTCTGTGTCTGTCTTTATTTCTGTGTGTCTCTGTGTCTTTCTGTCTGACTCTCTGTTTCTACCTTTGTCTCTGTGTCTCTCTGTCTGTCTGTCTCCCTCCCTCCCCACCTCCCTCCCCTTCTCTCATACACTCACACCTAAAAAAGATCACTTTTATAATTTGCTGGTGGATTTCCAAATGCCAGTGTTCATTTCAGGAGCACATTTGTTTCTCTTGCTTGGGACAGCCTAAATTTTCCACTGGCTCAGAGCTGAGAAAGCTTCCTTTTTGTAGCCTCTCCCATCCCTTGGTACTGAGGAGGGAGTGCAGGGGGTAGAAAGCCATATGCCAACAGGCTCATCCTGGTGTGCTTAGAAGAATCGTGTTCATCAGAGAAGGCATATTTCTGGAATTACTCGAGGGCAGAGTTTGGCTAAGGCTTAGCTCACATTGTTTCAGTGTGGGCCATTCCTTGAAGATGATAGGAGGTGAAGGACTAGGAAAAGCAAAATATACGATGTAAATAGATAAAGAACAGTAACAACCATGAGAACAAAGCTGAAAAGCTGTGTCATTATAAGGATCAATCTTAGCCCCAAAGGAGAGAAAAAACTGCACCTGCCTCCTTTGTTTGAAGAGGTGGGGGGGGCGGGTCATGAGTATGGAACATTGAATATACTGTTAGATTTGGTTAATGGTTACTTTTACTGAACTGACATTTTTTCTCTAGATCTCCCCCCCCCCTTTTTTTCTTTGTCATAAGAGTTGGCTTCCTGTACAGGGAGAATTGAAGGATATATTTAAAAATGAGGATGATGTCAAAAGAAAAGCTATCAATAAAAAAAAGGTAATAATAAAATGTGACAAAAATTAGTCACAAAACCCAAAAGAAAATGGTAAGGGTGAATGGTATTAGGGAATAAAAAGCCCAAAGCAAAGTGACCCCTGACTTTCTAAGTTGCTATTGCTAACAAGATCAGCAAAGTTTCAGTTTCCTAGGAGGAGAGAACTAGTGGAATCCAAAAAACTCTGAAAGGAGAAAGTATAAATATTACTCACTGTCCAGTAATTAATCTGAAAGGTCCTTACTGCTTTGAAGGACAGCTGCACATGTAACTATTCTTCAAGGATGGGCTCAGGGCTAACCTTTCACAGGGGCTAAGGGTCCTGGCACTCTGGAGGTTATACAGTATCACTTTGGGGCCCTGTGGGAGTTTCACTCCTGTTCTCTGGGCTGACGCCAGAGATTCTTTGGACAAGACCATTTCTTAACCTGAGCCAAAGGTTTAAAATACATATAACCCGGAGGAGGCTGTACATGATTATGGTCAATATTAACATTTAAATACATCAATTTAGGACTGGAAGGGATCTTGGAGGTCATGTTACTCACCTTTCTGATTTTACAGATGAAGAAACTGAGGCCCAGAAAAATTCAATAACTTGTCCAAGGTCACTCCTGGCTTAGAAGCCAGATACCCAGCCTCTATACTGTGCAGCTTCTCAATTTGCCATTAGCCATTATTCTCTAATGTTGCATGTACTTTTATCTAATTCCATTTAAAAATGCTTATGATTCTTTTCCTTTCTTCATGGCAACCCAAGCTTCCAAGACCTGCCTAGTGTCATGCATGTCTCTGGCCACTCTCAATTCCTTAGGCTGAGTTATACAAACCTGTGAAAGTCAATCTTGATGCTGTTCGTCATGTGGTTACTGCCTGGGTAAATGAGCATAGGATCTTATGGGTCATGTACTCTGCACATGTATCACCTTATCTTAGATGTGCTGAGAGCTTCGAAGGCAAAACAAGAGCCCCAGGAAGAGATCTGTTTCCATATAGGACCTGATGTATGTATTAATGGCCTGTGCCATATTTCAGTGTGCAATCCAGGCGTGATTTCAGTAGCACATATATTTACATGCACAGGGAGCTCATAACTGTGTCACTGTGCCTACTCCAAAGTGAGTGTCTGACCTTTGTGTATGCTCAGCTTAGAACTGTCGGCCGTGTAGGAAGAGTGAGAAGGAATTTTGGAGCTCTCGGTGTGGTCCCCAGATAGGAGCCAGCTCAGGAGATCACAGATGTAAAGCTGGATGGTGGGCCTTCGAGGTCATCCAGTCTAACCTCTTCATTTTACAGATGAGGAAAATGAGACCCAGAGAACTGAAGCGACTGCCCAGTCACACAATCCTGTCTGAGGCAGGATTCAAATCCAGGCCTCCCTGACTCTAAGTCCAGTGGCCTCTCAAATTCCTCAGGGCTAATTAATTTCAAAAGCTTTCCTTTGTGTTCTACTCTTTGTTGACTTTTTTTCTTGGTCCAAAGCCTCACCCTCACCATGACTTTCTAGATCATCTTTGCATCCTATCCCATTTGACTCCCTTTCCTCAAATCTTATTTTTCTGCTCAGCTGAACTATTTGTTACTTCCTGAATTTGCCCTATTCTTTCTCAAAGTTCCTTATGCTAGATTCTCCACCTGAAAAGCCATTCATGCCATTTGTTACTTCTGAAATAGAGACCAAACAAAAATACTACTTCTTTCGTGAAGACTTTCTTTGATTTCCCCAGTTGGAATTTGTTTCACTTCCAGCCAACATTTTTAAGCCCCTCCTATGTGTAAGGCTTTATGCTAAGTGCTGGGAATATAAAGAACACAATACTTTTGGTTTTAAGGGGCTCACAATCTAATAAGTATGAAAAGATAGACAGAGTTTAATGTCCATGCTTGTCCCTGAGGAAATGTAGAAAGTTCGTAAAGGACTCACATAAAGAATGGATACAATTCTCCTCCTTTTTAGGCGAATCTTACCTTCTCTATATGACCTTATATAGCTCCTCAGACTAGTAGAACCAAGCCCTCTCCCCCTCTAGTCCAGACTCCTTTCGGAAGGGAAATGAACATAAGGTTGTTAGAGAGGTGTAGAGAGACTCTGGACTTTTCCAGAGTGAGACCAGCCATGTCTCTCCCTTAGTGTTTTGTGGATACTCCTGAGGGGTAGGGGTATCTTTCTCTAGTAATATGGACTCAAGGTACCATTTCAGTGTTCTGACTGTTGACCTATAGTGATTAGCACCTCATTCTCTTTAACTAATGAACTTCAATTACCCTTTACAATTACACTTTACTCCATAGATATAGCAAGGACAGAGGTATAAATAAACCTTTCCTCCAACACTAGGCGCATTCTTTTCTATACCACCTTGGTTCCTAGAGAGAGTAGACTCAGACAATTCATTTTCTATACAGCATTGGTCCTACCAAGTTCACTTCCAAACCTGCCATAATCACCAAATGAGCTCCTGCTGGGCTGAATCCTGAAGGCCTTTCTTCAGGGGCTCAATACTGAGCTGGCTGGATGACACACCTGGTATGGACCCCCTTATCACAATTCCTGATGGTTCACTGCTCATCTTTCAAAGCTCAGAATATAGCCATCTTCAATATCATTCTTCTAACCCAGTATCATTTGCCTAAAATAGAAAAAACAAACAAATGAACAAAAAGAGCAAAGGAACAGAGGCTTGTGTTCACAAACCACATATCAACATTGGATAGAGAGTACCTGAGGCATACATCTTAGGTCCTTATCTCTATCACCTGAATAAGCAGTTAGAAAAGAGAGAGAGAAAATGCAAAGGCCAGCCCCTGGCTGACACTGTAATACAAGGAGATACAGACTACAGCTGTGATTTCAGTGTTCCAAGAGGAATATTTTCCTACCTCTTTTCCAAGGTCAAGTTTCTTGGTCATTAGAAGTTCATAGCATTTAGTTTCTTTGTTTTTGTGCTCGTTCTTTCCATTTACGTTGTTGTAGTCATTGAGTATATTGTTTTCTTGGCTCTGCTTACTGAAATACTCCCAAGCATGTGAAGATTTCCTCTGGCAGAATGGGCGGATGAGAACAATTTGTTCCCACGGCCATGAAGGTGGCTGCAGCAAGCACTGTGGAGTGCTTGGAGCTTGGTTAGACATGGAAGATGCCAATGTCATCCACTGAATCCTGGATCATCCTCAGTCATCTTGACTATTGTCCTGCCACTGGACTTGAATAACTCAGGAAGAAAGGGTAAGGCTGATGACTTTGTGAAATTCTGCCTCACTTAAGTCCAATTCACGTGTGAGTCAAGATATCACCCTCCAAGAGTCTTTTGAAAGTATTAAATTGGTCACTGTTTACATTTTGTATAAAAAGGCAAAGCCATAAAAAAGAAATTTAGAAAAAGACCAGAATGGGATACAAGTGAGGACTATATAATGCTGCTTTGAAAGCATTGTATTTTTTCCAACTTTTTAAAAAAAATTTTTAGGCAATTGGGGTTAGGTGACTTGCCCAGTGTCACACAGCTAAGTAAGTGTCAAGTGTTTGGTCTGAGGCCAGATTTGAACTTAGGTCCTTCTGACTTCAGGGCCGGTGCTCTATCTGCTGTGCCACCTAGCTGCCCCTATTTTTCCAACTTTTGGAAAGCATGTTAGAGATGAATGAGGTCAAGTAACTTTCTAAAAGGTCGGAAGATTCTAGGAAGGTGAGAGTTAATTTATTAGAGCTGTGCTGTCTCCATATCCCTACATTTCCCTAGCTGGAAAAGGGAACCCTTCTCTACCTCAAAGGGAATAGAATTGTATGGGTTAACTGAAGCCTGAAGATGTTCCGTAGGAACTTGGGAAAAGATACATGAAGGCACAAGCTCTGCTGTTAAGACCAAGTCCCAGAGAACAACTCAGCCGCTAAAAATCTGAAATAATTAATTCATCAGTGAAGGTCCCTGAAAATGAGTCAGAGGAACTCGATGAGCCTACCTCTTTTCTTGCTTAGTAAACACATCTCTCCTTTATGTCTTTTTAAAAATTCTTATCTTGCCCGTGGGCAGTCTAGAGAAAGACAGCATTCTTCCTTTGTGGTTACCTAGCCTCTCAAATGTGTCTTATTAAAGTTTCTACCACTTTTATTTTTTTCTTTCCAAAGTATTTGGAGTTCTTCTCCTGGGGTGCTTCTCTCTCAGACTGCTGAGCCTTGCAGCTTGTGTGAGCCTCCAAACTGGAGTTGGGAATTCACATATCCATGAGGGGTGTATGTCAGACATGTCCTCTCAGAGTGCATTGTCAGCAAATGAGATTCTTGGTGCTCCTTGAGCCTCCTTGAGAGAGGATGTGCCAGGCAGTCAGCAAACCAGAGAGAGTTTGGGAAATGAATTTGACCTGTGTAGCTAAATTCTCTAGGAGATTGAAGCTATTGGAGTGAGGAAGATTCGCTTGAAAACATTTTGTGACTAAGTTGGGAATTCTTGGAGGCAAGGCTTTGGTCCACTGGTGCTCCTGTTCTTTGAGAGGGCTCACACTGAAGACTTCTTTTGTCCTTAATGAGAACAACTACTGGCAATCCCAGATGTGCCCCGAGGATGCTTTCAAGCCAGACAAGACACCAAGATTATATCACTATCATGTGATATTCTGAAGCTCTTGTGATACTGAGGTATCCATATTAATGACGATGAATGGCCCATAGGTCTGGATGATTTGGTACTGAATCTGGGCAGAGTTAGAAATAGCTTAATAAATGGCTTTATAGCCTCTGAGGCACCTATTGTTAGATATGAGATTATAATTTGCAAAGTTAATAGGTAGTCCTGTGCTTGAGGGATCATTATATTCATTTAATTTCCTTCCTTCCTTCCTCCTTTCTCCCTCCCGCACTCTCTTTTCTTTCTTTCTTTCTTTCTTTCTTTCTTTCTTTCTTTCTTTCTTTCTTTCTTTCTTTCTTTCTTTCTTTCTTCTTCCTTCCTTCCTTCCTTCCTTCCTTCCTTTTTTTCTTTCTCTCTTCCTTTCCTTCCTTTATTTCTTTTCTTTTCTTTCCTTCCTCACAAAAGGGAACTAGCCAGTGAGTCCAGTCATCATGAGCACACTCAGTCATCTTGACTGATGCAATCACTATATGGATTGTAGCATATATACAAATAATATTTCCATCCTGCTGATCGTGCAAAAAAGAGATGCCTTTCAATTGGCTGCCTAGCCAATAGCCAAGTCCCAAGGAGGGTTAAGTGACTGGTCCATGGTCTCATAAGTGGTAAGCATCAGAAGGGTTATTTGAACCCAGATCCTCTGATTCCTGGATTTCAGTTTCTTCATCTGTAAAAAGCACAGGTTGGACTAGATGGTTTGTTGTGTCTTTCCCATCTCTAGATCTATGCTCCTCTGATCTTGTTATTTTGACCTCCCACAGAGGCCCTCCTTAGATACTTCCCTGAGTCACAGAGGTGAGTCTAAGTTCAAGAATAGGTGAAGCCAGGAGACAGACAAACCTTGCTTATTTGTCAAGGTTAAGTTTGCAGAGACTCATCCTTTGGAGAAGGCAGAAACTTCTTTGGCCCCAGGAACTTGGGAAATTGCTATTCCCACTGATTGAGGAATGGCTAAGCAAATTATGGTACAAGACTGTAATAGAATATTGCTGCCCTGTAAGAAATGATGAATATGAATAGCCTAGAAAAGCATCAGAAAAATATATATGGACTGATGCAAAGTGCTGAAAGCTGAACCAGGTAAACAATAAGAACAATAACTCTGACAATGTAAATGAAAACAAAATTAACACGTATTAAGTCTAGTCTATAAACATAGTTGAAGTGAAGCCTCATATACTGGATAAAGAATCAGGAACAGTTGGAAATTGGCAAATGCTATCGATCAGTGCTTGATTTATTGTTTTGTTGATTGTGTAGACTAAAGAAAGTGATGGAGAAAGCATTAATAATTGTTAAACATTGACCAGCATGCTTCTGTATGAGGACATAGCTTCAATGTGTCCTCTGTGAGTTATTTGAGAAAAAACTGAAAAGATTCCGTCCCAAACAGCAACAGAAGCAGAGAATGGACCTTTGAGCTGAGCTTGATCCCCTCTATTCTGCTTACCATTCCTGGCTTTCAGCAGAATACTCACAAAAAAGAAACTCTCTTGCTTAAAGAGCTAGACTTGGAATCAGGAAACCTGAGTTTGAATTCTCCCACAGGCAGTTACTCACTGTATCACTTCTCTGTGGCTTCAGGCACATCATCTGTAAAATGAGGGCTGTTGGCCTCAGTGGCTTTTAAGGCCCCTTCCAGCTCCAAATTTATGATCCTATGAACCCAATATTGAATGTTGCGATACTTGAGAACCAAACAAATAATCCCATAAAGCAACAGCTCTACATTAAACACCATTCTGCTAGGTCTTCTAATCTGTTTATGCTACCCCCCACTTTAAGTTTAGGGCAGGTAGGTGGTGCAGTGGGGTGCCAGACCTGCAGTCAGGAAGACTCATCTTCCTGAGTTCAAATCCAGTGTCAGACACTTACTAGCTGTGTGACTCAGGGTAAGTCACTTAACCCTGTTTGCCTCAGTTTCCTCATCTGTAAAATGAATTAGAGAAGGAAACAGCAAACCATTCTAGGATTTTTGCCAAGAAAACCTCAAATGGGGTCATGAAAAGTTGAACATGACTGAGCAACAAAGACTTTGAGTGGCAGAATTGGATTAACTGAAGATAGTGTTGTGAGAGAACCATTGCTGGCCTAGGAGTACCTCAGTGATTATGATGAGGGTCCTTGTGATGAGAAATTTCTGCAAGACTGTTTGGTGCCCATCAGATGATTTCTGCATTTGGGTCAGGCCTCTCCAACTATAAACAAAAGGAGATTTTTGGCTGGAGAAATATCAAATTTACTTTGTTAATGAGGGAGGTTGAAACTGGGAAAATAATCATGTGTTGTAAACACAGCCTTGTGGTTGGACTTGTGTAAAACATAACCCTGGGAAAAGGCTAACAAGAAAAATGGCCTTGGAGAGAACAAAAAGACAGACAAATTTAAGCAAGCCCAAGGAATAATCTAGGCGAACACTGAAAATCATTTCAAAAAGAGGGAAGGGTCTAATTAGTTGGTGAGCTACTTGCCTTAGAAAAATTCTATAAAAGGGGCAAAATATAAAAAGCATGTCTTTTGTTACAGTTTTTGAAATAGAATTATTATAGAATCATAAAATTACTAATTTAAAGCTGAGAGGAAGAGGTCATTTAGTCCACTTCTCCATTTTACATGTGAGGAAACCGAGGCTCAGAGAAATGACATGATGAAATGACTTACCCAAGGTCACAGAGGTTTGTGATAGGATCATAGATCCAGGGCTGAAGGGGACCTTAGAAACCACTTAGTCTAGGAGATGAGGAAACTGAGTCTTCGAGAGCAGAAGTGAATGTCCAGGGTCAAAGAGAGAAGCAGAGCCAGTGAGTATTTGGGCTCTGTACTCTGTCCAGAATATTCCTCGGCTTTATCTTAGCCCTAGAAGTTGTTTTACCCATTGGATTGGGAGCTCTTTGAAGCAGGGACTCTCATTTTGTCCTTTGTATTTCCAGCACTTAGCACAGTGCTAGGCACAGAGTAGATGCTTAATATTAGTTTATTAACTGACAACCCGATGATAAAATCTTAAGTGAATCCGTTTTTTCGCTTGCATTTTAAAACCTTCCCCCATGCTCCCCCTTCTGCTTTAGTCCTCTGGTTAATGTGTTCAGATGGGATCTTGGCAGCCAGATGGAATGTGATCTATATTTAGGGGCTCCATTTGACCTTAAGTCTAAATATGCTACCATTTCTTAATTTCTTCATAAATATTCTTGGAAAGTAGATTGTCATTTATCTTTATGGCGTACAAAAGTCGTTATGTTGACGAGGCTATTTTTTCCTCAAAGAAATTTAAAAAATCATATTTATTCTCTTAAAAACTGTTCCCATTTTGACAAAAGTGAAACGGCTAATTTAAAACCATTTTTACCTTGTTTGCCCCTTGTCT